GGAGAGCCCCAGGTCTCTCTTCAGGTGCCTGCCCCAAGCACACTAACTGGGGCTGGTAGGGGAAGCCTCAGCCATCTGTCAGGTGGAACCTGAGCACCTGGCCAGTTGTGGGACGACAGTAGGCATAATATTACTGTAGTAGTCCTCAACATAAGCGGTGTATTTCATTTACACTGCTCCTCAGATACCAAGCCTGGGAATCTCCATCAATTTCTAAGCAAAGCAGTTTCTGAGGAAAGGAGTAGCATGGTGCCTTAGCGCCCCCTGCCGTGTACTTCTGGATCTGCCACAAGCTCCACCAAAACATTCGTAAATGTTTTTGTTAGTGGGTCAGTTATTTAACAGAGATCATGAAATACATTAGAAATCTCAAGTACGATAACTAAATAAAAACATTGCCGTTTTATACGTTTATGATAAAGGAACTACTTAAAAAGGTTAACCTGGAAAATAACGAAAATCCAGGACGTAATACATACAGGTGCAACTGGCAGTGATGAGGTACCGCAGCCCAAAGCACAATTTGTAAAGAATTCCCTTGATGTCATTTTTTTTTAATTATTATTATTTTTTTTTTTTGCGGTGTTGAGGGATCAAACCGAGGACTGCACGTACGCTAAACATACGTGCTCTGTAACTGAGCGACACCTCAGCATTCCTGGCTTTAATGCATTATTAAGGCCAAATATTGGGTAATGTTATTTGAATGGAAAAATTAAATGTTTAAGAAATAAGCCCGCTACAACACGTTGATTTCCTAAGTGTCGTCTGCCATCTAGTGTTCATTTTTGGAACTTAAAAAGGCTAATTATTAATTTTCCAAGCAAAGGGCCACCTCTGAAACATTTCAACATCAAGATATCAAACTGTAACATAAAACTCTCGGAGGTTTGTGGAGGAGGAGCATGGTTATCTCTAAGACATTGGTTATCTCTGGGAAACAAAATACTTCTTTGTCCTGGATACCTGACAGCATTACCTGAGAACTGAAAATACAGAGGCTCGGCAACACTGACCTGGGAGATCAGATTCACTGACTGAGACCTCATCAGTGGCTTGTGTTAAAAGATCCCAGGTAATTCTAGCATGTGGCCAGGTGTCAGACCAAGCATCCTGCCTGCACAGGAGTTCACCAAGTAGCTGGGTCACCTTGTGGAGGGAAATTAAGTAGCATTTATATCTCTAGGAGGATATTACCTTCTCTTGGAGTTATTTGGGGGAGGGGGGTTGTTTGTTTTCTTGATCTGGGTTTTGTTACACACTCTTGACTGGCCTGGTACCTACTGTATATCTAGGCTGGCCTCAAACACATGCCAGTCTTCTAAATTCAGGCACCCAAATGCTGGGATTACAGGCATACACCACCACACTTGGATTCTGCTTGGGTTTTATGAGTGATAAATACATAGACTATCCAGCACTTTGCATAACATATGGTACATTGTGCTTAATAGATGTAAACTTTTATTTTTGAGACAAGGCATCTTTATGAAGCCCAGGCTAGCCTAGAGTACACTATGTAGCCCAGACTGGCCTTGATTTATTCTCAAGGAAAATACTTTAAGAATTATTTAAAAGAATGACTTACTTAAGACAAATGAACATACTACATATAAAATTAAAAATCAGAACATATTAAAGTGGTATTACATGGCAAATTTCTGTTCTTCTCAAACAGACTGACTTGTGGGATTAAATGCTCAGACCCAGCTGGATCTGATTCCTGAGAAGCGTGCCTCTTCTGTTTTGGTATTAGTATGAGGGAGGCCTCCCGGTATCACCCACACTGGCCCTGAACATGAAATCCTCCTGCCTCAGACAGGACTTCCCCCTCATATCCAACTATATTACTTCTTATCCAGTGCTGACATTAATCACTTTGAGACTTGGTTGTATCCAATCTTTCCTAACCTCCCAATTTCTTAGCAAATTTTATTTGCCCTGCCTGGGTCTACTATCCTCTCATGAATTATTGGGGGCAAAGATACAACACCTACAAATGTGACAATAGGCACAGCCTGCATGCTTAGGAGCAAAAAAAAAAAAAAAAAAAAAAAAAAAATCACTGTGACCTACAGGTATCTTTATAATTACAAGACAGAAGCTCTATTGTTACAGTCTATTGATTTGATTGGGGCAGATGGAATGGCATCTGGAAAGGACTTCAGTGAGGCACTAGTCTTTGTTCTGGCTAGAGTATTCAATGGGGATGTTCAGTGGGTCTGTATTATAAAAACCTGGCTATGAAAAGGAGTGAAGGTGCTGGGCATGATGGCCACAACTTTAATCTCAGGAGAGGCATTCTGAATTCAAGGCCAGCCTGGTCTATATAGTGAGTTCTGGGCCAGCTGGGGCTACAGGGAGACCCAATCTCAAAAAGACCAAAAAGGAAGGAAGGAAGGGAGGAAGGAAGGGAGGGGAGGGGACTATAATCAGCTCTATTTTGACAAGGGGAAAGAACATATAGAGAAGCATGGAATTCTAAGTAGACAATCAAGTGCTTTGGTTTGACAAATGAAGCACTGCTAAGACAGAGGGCCTTCTGGAGAGGCAGCCAAGAGGGAGCTGGGGGCACATTCAGGCCATCTTTCAGGTAAATATGGGTGAAGGCCAAGAATTGAGAGTCCATTGGAAGGATGTGATGGTCAGTCATGGGCATGTGTGGTTTCTCCTTGGTTTTGAAAACAACAGGACAAAGGTCGCACTTGGGAACAGTTAACATTTCCAAAGAAGAAAAGCGGGCAAAAGAACCTCGGGCGTGGATAGAGTAGAAACTTTCAAAATGTGATTCTGAATATGAAGAGGCAAGGGAGCAGACAAGGCAGACTCGTGGCATATTAGGCAATCACTGCTGACTTTGGAAAGGGCAGGGTCGTTGGAGAAACAGAGGCTGAGCCAGGCTGGAAGGTCATCGGGTTTTCCTGTATGACTATAACCCCTTTTCCTCAGTGATGCACAGCATTCGCTGACGGCCTCTTCCACACCCTTCTACCCGCTCTGCTGTGGGTACTCTTGGGACTGTTTTGACATTCAGGGCTACTATGTCCATGCTGGGTGGGTTATCTGTGAGGTATGCATTTGTAAGGTGTATACTATACAGAGGAGTGGGGACCCTGGGTTTTGAACAAACACTAGTCTCTTGATTAGGTATTTCCAGTCTCACAAAGTTATGCTAATGCACACCTGCAATGGCGCAGAGGTCAAGGCAGTTCCCAGCACATGCTGTCTTCAGGGTATTTGATGTTTGCTGTCACTGGCTTGCTGTTTTGCTTTAGACATTCTGGTGTGTGGTGCTGTTGTTTTGATTGCACTTCTTGGATGAATGACTGGTACTATCTTTACATCTGCTTATTTCAACATACTGCTTTGTGAAGTACACATTCAAGTTATTTTCTTACAATTGCATGGCTTTTGATCTTGTGAAAATGTTTAAAATGTATTCAGTATGATTTGTAACATAAAGATATTTATAGAGCCGGGTGTGGTGACATGTGGCTTTAATCCCAGCACTTGGGAGGCAGAGGCAGGTGGAGCTCTGAGTTTGAGGCTAGTCTGGTCTACAGTGAGTTCCAGGCCAGCTGGGGCTACAGACAGACCCTGTCTCAAAAATACCCGCCCCCCGAAAAAAAGGTATTTGTAGAGCAAATTTTGTGGGCTAACCTAATTTAGGAGCCATCTTTCCAAGCCCCCACACCTTCTGAAATCTTGGTGTATTTTAGTGATAAATGTAGTTCAATGTATTCATCTTTCTTTAGGATGAGTGCATTGTATGTGCATGCTGACCAAATCTTTGCCCAAAGTGAATAAGACATACATGCTATCTTCTAGAAGCTGTTTTATGGGGCTGGAGAGATGATCAGTGGTTACAGCACTAGCTGCTCTTGCAGAGGACCTGGGTCTGGTTCCCAGCACCCATATGGCAGCTAACAACCATCTGTAACTACAGTTCCAGGGGACCCTATACCTTCTGGCCTCCATGGTCCTTGTGTGACAAGGGTACACTTACATACATGCAGACAAAATACTCATACACATAAAATAAAAATAAAAAATTTAAAACTTTTATGTTACTCCAAGTGGTGTCTTCATTCAACCCTACCCTGCAGGCTGATTCTTATGCAGACACAGTGGCATTAACTTCATCTCCAGTGATATCACTAATTTTAATGATCCATCTGCAGATTCTTTCATATTTCCTAATCACATGAACTATGAATTGGATGTAGCCCTATCAAGCAACCCTTCTGCTTAGTTTCCATGCTTCGCACTTGACGTTACATATCTCCTTATACACAGCCTTAACATGCATACTACAAATTTATATATTTTCAGAACAAAGGATCAATTGGAGAGTTGAAGGTACTCAAAAGTGAGGAGATCAGGTAAGAACTGCCTGAAAACAAGAACATGGAAAGGTAAATACTGGGGCAGAATGCCATGTTAAGTGGAAGAAGTTCTGCTACTCGAAACAAAATTTTCTAATTATTTTTAGATAATTTACTTTCCAATCATCTTTTTCCAATATCTAAAGAACTTCTGACCAGAAACTATCTAACCACTCTTAGTTAGACTAGAAAGACATAAACAGGTAACCATAGGGAAAAAATTTCCAGTGTTTTGATGTTGGGAAAACTATAGACAAAAAGTACAAGTACATCACATATGCAAGCTTCAAATATCTGCAAGTCAACCCCAAACCCCTCAAATTAGCTGAGACTATAAACTGTAAAAATATAATATTACTTATACTTTTTATTTAAATTTTATGGGCTGGGGATGCAGCTCAGTTGGTAGAGTGCTTGTCTAGCATGCAGAATACTCTGGATTTAATTCCCAGCACCACATAAACCAGCTGTGGTGGTGCATGCCTGTAATCGCAGCACTCAGGTGGTATAGGCAGGTAAATTAGAAGTTCAAGGCCAACCTCAGCTACATAACAACTTTAAGGCTGGGATACATAATACCCTGTTCTCAATAAATAAATAATATTTTATTCACAATAGTCTTAAAATAATTTAATTGTAAAAACAATGTCTTGTGATAGAATTATACAGTGTGAGATGTTTTAAGTACATGTGATTAACAATACAAATACATTAATTATAATACCCAAATCAGAGTATCATATAGATTTAACGTATCAAATGTATCCAGCAATAAAACAATCCCTACCTTGAAACTTACATAAACACTTCATTTATCAAATACATGGTTCATATGTTCTTAGAACAAAGAAAACTGTTTACATGCCAAGGGACAAGGCTAAATACTAAATCTTTAAAAATAAATATGGACCATTATAATTTTTTTTAAGATTGATGGCCATTATACAATATATAAACTGGGCAGCAATGATGAAATTCAGTAAGAAATTTGGGAAGTAATCAAACAGTTCAGTATTAATACTGCAATGCATCTATCACCACAGCCAAAGTCAATGTGAATATCTTAATGTGAGTATTGAGTTTAGTAGAGCCAGGCTATAGGTAGGCCCTGTCTCAAAAAGACCAAAAAATAAATAAAAATTTAAAAATTAAAAAAAAAATTTTAAATATTGAAGTTAGTAAAACATTATTCTGTAACTAACTAGACCAGATAACTGAGGAGGGCATTTTGCATTCTGCCTTTAAAAGGAACCTACATCCAGACCATCTCCAGGTTTGGGGGACTGGTAGTAAGTACAGTAACTGCAGAGACGCGCACAGTAAGCACACTCTGGCAGGGCAGTCACATGAAATGGTAGGACAACATGAAATAGAGAAAAGACAGTGAGGTAACTTTTGCTTCGAAACAGGAAGCAAATATGGAACAGTTAACTTACTGTATACCCATTATTAGTAGGAATTGCAGCTTAAAATATTCACTAATAGCCAACCTTTTGGATAGCCTACTGTCGGACAGGTAATGTGACAGGTGCTGTATGTATGGTGATTAAGAAAATAAACAAGGATTTCTGCTAATAGAGATTCTATCTGCGCAACCCTATGAACTTAACTAAATATGGCTTTTGGAACAAAGAGAAATTTTTTTCCAAAAAGGTAACTTTGTAATTGAGAATTTATGTATATAAATAGTATCTTAAAATTTAAGAGGCCCATGTAGACAGTTGACTATTTCAATGGCTAGCTCATGAATTATACTTTCTGTACATTTTTCCCCAAAGATATTCTTACATGCAGAATTTTTTTTCTTTATTCAAACATTCCATTTTTGTACACATCTGTTTTTTTAAAAAGTTCCCATTTTAAAATCAGGACTAGGACCTCAAAGACATTACACATCTCAAATAGACATCCACAAGTCTGGGAAAAACAAGTGAATGAGCATGGCGCTGTTCCGTGGACCTAAGCTTCATCATCCCTTTGTAAAGGGATGATCTGGATTTCTTTGGCTATCCTTTCAGCTAACACTCTATTACTTGCAGCAATTATTCTTCGTGACATCAAATCAAATGGTCCACCTAAAATCGAATCAAATACAGAAAACAGTTACATTCTGTATAAACCAATTAGGAAAAAACAAGTACAGACATATATTTTATGGCCAATCCTAGTATGTCCAGTTTTCTTGAAAAAAAAAAAAATCAGTCACCTACAAACAAAGCTTAAGCTTGACAGGATGTAAGTTTCTAAGAATCTTTTCTGAGTAAATACCAGGGTGAGGGGAGATTTCAAATCACACCAGTCTGAAGAGTGTCCTCTTCCCTTTCTGCTTCTCCTGGGCACTCTTATGCCTCCACCATCTGAGCATCAATGGACAGGACTGACTGACTCCAACACATTTCAAGATCTCCTCCTTCCCATCTCCTGCTTCCGTCTCCGAGGTCACTAACTCTGAACTCAAGACTTATTCTCACAATTTCACCATCAGCTCAAAGTTAATATTTAATTTTCCTAGGTAGGTCCAGAGCAGAAAGCAGTAGTGGAGGAAGCCAGTGTCCACCATCACCACGGCTCTGATCAGAAAGTTGGTAGGACAAGCCTCAGACTCAGTGAGACTAGACTGGCTCCTGATGCTCCCATGTGAAAATGCACACTTGTCATTATCAGTCCTGCATTAGTGCTAAGATCCTTGCCTCTATCTCCTAATGCCTGATTTTAAGAAAATTTTGTAGCCTATTTCAAGGAAATAACAGAACATGTATCAACTATTTTTAAGAGCCTACACAGAAGGACTGTTTCACGGACATGACGAGAGACATGCTTTGTTGGGCCATGATTTCACCTGTAACATCCATCAGCACTCCACCTGCTTCAGTGACAATGATGCCAGCTCCTGCCATGTCCCAGCAGTGAATCCCCATTTCATAATATGCATCTGCGCCTCCAGTCGCCACCAGGCACATATTAACAGCAGCTGTTCCAACACTCCGGATTCTTATGTAAAAAATAAGATTGGGAAAAAGAATGTCTCAAAAATTTAGGTATTCCTCTTTAAGGTTTCTTTAACTATGACTGAGATATCTTCATTTAATGTAGAGAATAAATGTGGGAAAAGGTGTTCTCTAATTTTAAAACAAAGTGTACACAGTTTAATTATATTTGTATACTATGTGAATTACAAAGTTAATCTTCACAGCACTCAGGAGACAGAGGCAGGCGGATCTCTGTGAGATTGAGGCCAGCCTGGTGTACATAATGAGTTCCAGGCCAGCTGGGACTACAAGGAGACCCTGTCCCAAAACAAAACAAAACAAAACAAAACAAAACAAAAAACAGTTTATGATTTTGCTTCTCATCTAAGCTGGGCATAATGGAAATGCCTAGAATTCCAGAACTCAGGAATCTGAGGCAGAAGACAAGAGATTGAGACTAGCCTGGGCTACATAGTAAGACTCTCTCAAGGAAAACAAAATCAAAACGAAACCCTGAAAGGTCTGTTTCCCCACTTCTTACGGTAAGGCATGGGATATGGGATTGCTCACAGCTCAAGTTCTAGACAAAAACACATCAACACTGCTCACAAGCAAACTCTTGTCATCTACTCAGGAACACAACCCTAAGCCAGAGGATCAAAGGATGGGCAGTCACCACTACTCGTGATCCTTCTGTTGCCTTTTTGTGAACATCAAGGGCTCTCAGGGAGCGGACCAGCAGTCAGCACAAGCACCTTCTTGTAGGAACAAATAGACAAGGACTGCCCAAGAGATTACTCAACTACCAGTGAAGACAGTGGCCCAGATTCTACAGTGTGTTTTCAATCAGATCTTCATCTGATCCTTCTAAAAGTGAGCTATCTCCACTGTCAAAAGATTTGAGTTTGCTCTCATGTTCAACCACTTAAAAATTATTTTCAAAGACTAGAGAGATGTCTCAGTTGTTAAGAACACTGGCTGTTCTTACAGAGGACCTGGGTTCACTTCCCAGCACCCACGTGGTAGCTAACAACCATCTATGACTCCAATTCCAGGGTATCCGATGCCCTCTTCAGCCTCTATATGCACAACATGGGGGCACTTACATACATACAAACACTCATACATATAAAATAAAATGTTTTAAAAATCATCTTCAAAATTCCTTCAAACTTTGGCTTTCTTGTTATTAAAGTAGGGGCATCAATTTACCTTAGAGCAAACATAATGATTACAAATGATACATTAGAGGCTAGAGAGATGGCTCAGTGGTTAAGAACATTTGTTTTCCCAGAGGACCTGGGTTAGATTCCCAGCACCCACATGGTAGCTAACAACCACCAGTAACTCCAGTTCTAGGGAATCTAACACCCTCTTCTGACCTATGCTGGCATTATATGCACGTGGTGCACTTACATACATGCAAGCAAAATACTCATACAAATATAATAAAAATAATAAAAAATGTTTAAATGATATATTAGTTAAAGTAACTATATTTATGATGAAATTTTTCTCTACCAGGCCTCCCTGAGGCCCATAGGTGATATAGTGTCCACCTTGAGGCCCACATGTGATATGGAGACACATATCCAGGAATAGCTATGAATGTGGCCCAATGCAAAGTTGCAAACTTACATAAAACATTATAAGATTTCTTTGTCATTACTTTTGTAACTTGGTTATACAGTTCTCAAGTGTAAACATAGATGATGATGTCATATCATAATCTCAAAAGGTTGGATACCCCTGCATTAATTTTCCCAATTTAAACTGAACTGACCCATTATAATTTACTTTGTCTCATGAATGTCATAACCTAGTTGAGAACAGGCCATACTGTACCCACATATCTAAGGCATCCAGTCAAATCACGGCTGTCATTGATCTCATTTTGTTTTGTATAAGCAATTCTGAAATAACACTGAAAACTTATAGAAATCAGCTAAATGAATGAACACACACACAAACACATACATGTCAGTAAAACAATATTTATCCTTGGTAACATGTCCCTAGTTAAACTACTGAAACGAATCCTTAAGAAATATTTTTTACTTCAGCCAACAGTTAAGATGAAAGGTCAAAACTGTAAACCGCTTACAGCTATTTTATAGCATTTTAAATCACCCATGACCCTTGCTTCAACAGCAAACTGCAGCAGTAGCTTTGGAAAAAGCCATTGTTCCTGCCTCAAGGACATCATGCCTTGTACCTCAAAGGCACCACATTCTGAGGGATTCTGTAGCTATGTGACAATGCGTCTCTCTCTTACCCTACTCGGTAATATGTGGACAACAGATTTACAGCTTCCAATGGTAGTCTGTTCTATGGTCAAACTGTACTTTGAAAGTCTTAACTCCTAAAAGAGAAGTTAAACACTGGAGTAAGAGAATGATCTAGAAGCCAGGGCTGGAATTATATTTCCATTGAGTGTGATCTCCTGTGACCATTTTGTGTCTCCAAACTTAAATTTTAAAACAAAGCTGGATTATTAGATGATCCTTGAGTAGTTCTAAAAATCTTCTACCAGTGCTGATATTTTCAGAAGAAATAGTAGCAATTGGCAGAAGAAAAAAATCATGAAATTCTACTGTTACTCAATTAAGCTTCTTTAAAAAATATTTTTTACTTATTAATTTTATGTGTATGAGTGTACTGCCTACATGTAGGTGAGTGTACCTATGTCATGCAATGCCCACAGAAGTTAGAAGAGGGAGTCAGATCCCCTGGAACTGGAGTTATGGATGGTTGTTAGCTATAACCCCAGTGCTGGGGAGGGGAGACAGGTGGATCCTGGGGCTCAATGACCAGCCAGTCTTGCTGAAAAAGCATACTCTAGGGTCAATGAGACCCTGTCTCAAAAAATAAGGTGGAGAGCAACAGAGGAAGACATGCAAAGTTGACCTGTAGCACATGCACACACACATACACAAGAGAGAGAGAGAGAGAGAAAGAGAGAGAGAGAGAGAGAGAAATTCATTCCTTTGAAATGTTGAATTATCTGAAACTTTTTGTGGGAAATGAAAGCGCTTACCCATGAATGGGAATAGAACAAAGCTTTTCCATGTTTGAAAGAACAATTCGCATAGTCTCTGGCTTTCTGGAAGAGCCCAACTCTGTCACCAACAGCGATTTGGTAATATCTGAAAAGGAAATATTTAAAATACTCACTAGTTTCTAATAACTAAAATTCTAGAACAAATTTGATACTTGCAATTCAGAATAAAATGGGACATTTAAATCCTTTTTCCCCCTAGTTTTATTAACTTATTTCTTCTCAAGTTTTAAATGTTAAAATACTGACAAATTAGATATGTTTGGTGACTCAAACCTGTAATGACAAAAAAGCTAATGAAGTAAAGATCCTCGAGTAATTATTTACATAAGCATGAAAAGCCCAGCTTCTTAAGCCATCACCCCAAAACTGTATACTATAACCAGTTTGCCTGTTTTCATGAAACATATAGTAAAAAAAAAGCAATTATCTTAAATATTAAAGTAGAAATTAGGAATTAAGTTCAATAAGGAATCATGTATAGATTTGAAATCGAAGTTAAAGCAGTATGTTACCTGACCATTGATTAAAGTAACTGATTACCCAGTATTTTCCATACTCACAAATATCATGATTAAAGTTCAAAAGTTAGGCCATACCATCCACTCTTCTAGAGTCTTAAGAGTTTAATTAAAAGGAAATGAACATGCTCATAACCCCAGCACTTGTGAGGTACAGATAGGAGGATCAGGAGTTCGAGGCCAGCCTCAGCTACATGCTAAACTGGAAGCAGCCTGGGCTACATGAGACCCTCTCTCAAAACAAACAAAAACAGCAACAACAACAACAACAACAAAAAGAAGACCTAAAGAGATGATGGCTCAGCAAGTAAGAACACTTGCTGTTCAGTCATGAGGACCAAAAGTCTAGATCATAGTACCCAAGATGGGCAGCTCATAAATGCCTGTAATTCTGTAACTCTAGCTCTAAGAAATCCAATGCCTTCTCTAGCCTCCACAGGCACCAGCAAACATATGCACATGTATACTCACACAGACACATGCACAATACACATAAATAAAATATAATAGATAAATAAATAAAAACCATAAAGGTAAATCTAAAAAAAAGGAAATGAACTAAAAAAAAAAATGCTGTTGAATTAAGTGTGTAACAGAAAGATTATGAAATTGTACAAAGATTCCAAACTCAAGACTATTTGCAAGTATCTTCTTAAGTTCTTGCTACATTTAAAAGAATCTGAAAGTAGAAACTATGGAAAATGTAGATTGAGTTTCTGAAAAAAAGGTGACTCAAAATGTCAATTAACTGTCATAATAAAAAAATTCACATGTCAATGTCTAGTTCACAAAAAGACATCTAACCAGTTTCTGTACAGACAATGTCCACAGCAGACATCTCATCTCAGGTTGCAAATGCCCCCCTCTAAAAACCTGCATCTGTACTGAAGATGAAGACCTTTTGCCTTGTCTTCTCCCAAGCCATATAACAACTATTTACACAGCATTGACATTGTATGAGCTGTAACTAGAGATAAAGTATACAAAAGTATGTGGACAGGTTAAAAGCAAGTACATTATTTCATATAAGGGACTTGACCCTGGAATGCATTCTCCATAGATCCTGAGAACTCTGCATATGTACCATTCTTAAGGATTCTCATGTGGTTTTGTTTGTTTGTTGGGGTGGGAATAATTTTGCTTATTTTAAGATAGAGTCCTGCTATGTAGCATAGGTTGCCCTATATACTTTTGCCTAGGCTAGCCTCAAATTCATTATCCTCCTGTCTCAATTCAACCTCCTGAAGTGATGGGACTCCACACATATATCACAACTGGTTGATCCCACTCAGCTTTAATATACATTATTTATGATTTTTTAAATAATTATTTGTTAAATGGCATTAAATCAGAAGAATTCTAGAAAGAATTTGAAATTCTGTGGCTGCAACACTAAACCATGAATTGCACAGGGTAGAATTTTGATGTACATAAGCACATTTCTCTGAAAATGCTGAGTGTGCTTGCTCAACTACATCTGCTTTCCTGTTTCAATTACCTCATTTAATAAAGACAGGTCAAAACGGAAAAGGAGAAAGAATACAATTTATGAGTCAGCTAATACTTGATAACTCCATAGGTTAACATACACATATGTAAAACAGGAGCATATAACATTAACAGCACCAAGCACTGGAGGACAAACCTACCTTCTTGTTGTGAGACCTGAAGCTTCTGGCCATTACAAAAGGCGCCTTTTCCTTTCCTGCCAGTATACATCTTATCTTCCACACAACTATACACAACTCCAAACTCCATCTGCACAGGAAAACAAGCCACTTTACCAAATCTGAGGATCTGTCTTCATTAAATCAATATCTTTTCTCATACAAAGTAAAAGAAAATCTAGCATATTATTAAAATGTATTCAAATGGCTAACCTGTGGGGAAGTCTAGACTTACAGCACCAACATTCCCCTTCTTCCTTAGCCTCAGATGGAGATACCTGTTTTGTACTTTCTAAGATGAACACCAGTATCCTCTTGTGTTAGGATTCCTGCTCATCCATTCTCAGAAAAACTCCACCCACGGATCCTTCTTCTCTTGCAATTCTTTTCTGGTACCTTCTCACCCAGCTCTGTTTGAATTCTCGTCCCCTGCATCCCTTCCTTGTTGCTATTGTTTAAATTCCTTTTTTAAAAAATCTTTTATATTATTTTTATGTGTATATGAGTGTACTGGCTGCAGGTATATAAGCCTACTCCCTGGACTGGAGTTACCAACACTTGTTAGCCACCATGTGGGTACCAGGAACTAAAGCCTGGTCCTCTACAAGAGCAGCCAGTGCTCTTACTGCTGAGCCATCTCTTTTTGTAACAGGATCTCCTGTAGCCCCAGCCTGCCTGGAACTCACTATGTAGACTACTGAGGCTGGCCTCAATCTTAGAGATCTGTCTGCCGCTGCTGGGGTTAAAGGTGTGCGCAATCATGCACAGCATTATTGTTTAAATTCTTATTCCCTCCAAATTCACGCTGAAATTTAATCACTAACAAAATGACACTGGGAGGTGTCTTCTTTAAGAGGCAACTGGGCCAAGGGGACTCCACCTCACAGACAGATTTACTGTCATAAGAGGGAGATTCGGGGATTGTGCTTAAACCATCGTCCATGGGAGGATTTAGCCTCCTCCCCTCCAGAGGCAGCACAAGAGTCATCTTAAAAGAATATGGCCTCACAGACACTAACCTTAACCTTCCCACTCTACAGCACTGTGAACCAATGTATCTATTTACCTAGTCTCTCATGGTTCTATTAAAGTGGCACAAACAAAGCCAGTTACAAAACTTGTCCCCTTCCCTATCAAAGAACAAGGTACATTCTGCATCTCCGAATCTCCTGCTAATACCTTACAATCTGGATTCTGAACTGATCACTCACTCTACTGTAACTTTAATACATGTTACTGACCAAATGCTTTTGTCTAGAGAACTGGAGATGGACGGCCATCCTTGGAGCTTCTTCAGCAGTTCCCTGATGCTTCCCTGTCTCTGCTCTTCCTGGTGCCTCACTCACGCATCCATCTCAGTGTCACTATGTCAGAATCCTTTTTCTTGCCTAACCCTTAAAAGCTGCGTACCTTAAGCTCTTTTTCCTTCTTGTATTGCTTGAAGGAAATACACTCTTAGGTCTTCAAATTTTTAGTCCTTTCTAGTCCACTAACTCAACTTCTATCAATAATTTTGGCTCCCATCAACCCATCACAGATAAGAATCTACGCTTCCTAACTTAGCCTCGAAGAAACTTTGTTCATTCCCTCAACTTTGCCAAGCTGTTATTTCTGATGAAAATCTTTTCTTTTATAGGTGGCAAGCCCTTAATTTTCTAAGTGCCAACTCATATAAATGGCTTCTAAGGTGCTTTCCATTATGAAGAACTCTGCCATTCTGCTATGGACAGAGCTACTGATATCCTTTTCTGTTTTCTGCTACACATTGTCCTTACCTGATGAAACATCTGAATGTTCTGAACTAAGCCTGCTGCTCAGGCTGAGTCTATACTAAAGGTTCATTTAGGTTACTTGATGACCAATACAGCACCTGTAACTAAGCTTTCGTTTGTGCTAATCTGTGCTTTTAATTTGTGTATCTGTGCTGTGCATGTGATGCTAGGAATTCAACGTCAGAGCTTTACATATACTAGGCAACAACACTCTATCGCTTAGCCCTGGTGCTTTTATTTTCAGAAATTTCTCAAGTGTTTTGTGTACATGCTGAGTAAATTAATACAAGCTCCTCAAAGACAGGAGTCAAATAGCCGAAAAGTGAGGAAATGCAATGGCTACAGATTTTACTCCGCTGGCCTTCATTTGTATTTGATTAAGTTCATGTTCTTAAATACGTTCAGCATTTTCTGGTCATACTTTGGCCCTGTCACTTCCTGGTCTTTCAATGTCTCCCTTCTCTGACACTTGGGAAAGCATGCCTAACAAAACTCCTGCCCTTTTATGAGGCACTTTAGATCACATCAAGTCCTATCACATGGACTGTATGAAAGTACAGCACTGATTAGATGCTGACTTGCATTTCACCTACTTATGTTTACTTTCTCTTTACAACTCTTGCTTGTCAGGAAACAGATCTGATTCATTGGAAATACATCATGAAAATTTTGATAGCCCTGAAGCTTATATCCAAAATGATGCAGTAGGGCTAGAGATCCGGCACAGTCATTAAAGGCTCAGGCTCACAACCAAAAAGACAAAATGATGCAGTGATACAAACTGAATGGAAAGATAAATTGGGATTTGTTATGGAGAAATATTTGCTTTTTATTAGAAAATGAGAGCAAAGTATTTTAGAACCATAAATTTAGAACATACCTTTTTGTTCACAACAAAACCAATTGAAACAGCTACAAAGGGAAACCTTAGGGGAGGGAAAAAAAAGAGACAAAAATTTATCAAGATAGTTCATTAAGTGCTTACAAAGTTTTCAAATACATACCCTCCAGAAGATAGAATAGAGTGTGAGTTGGGTGTATAGACAGGCGAGAAAGAGCATCTACACACACCTATATGTACACAAACAAGATGCGTCTACGGGCATTAAACACAACTGAAAAAAGTCACAAGAAACTGGCAACAAAGGTCACATCCAGAAATGGATTCAGGAGCAGGGAGGCAGAAGTGGGAAGAAAGTTTGTATTGCACATATCCTACCACTTCTAAATGTGAAATAATGTGAAGACAATAATAATGTACAAATAAGTTTCCAAAACATAAATTTTAAAAAGAAAAGACTCTCTTCATTTTCCCCACAGCCTGTGCCAGTGGTAACCACAGCTACTGAACACAGAAAACTGTTTGTCTCTATTCTGACACCAAACTCAAGAGCTTCATGTCTGAAAAATAAACTGCTAGCCAGCCACAGTGATTTCTACAGCTGTGTGACCATTTGCCCACAGATATTCTACCTTTTCACGCACAACACAATTGATTTAAGAGACAAAATAGGATCAAACATAACAGGAATAAGAGTAAACACTTAACTGAAAATAAGCCTAAATATTTAACTCTGAGATTTCATTTTAACAAAAACAGGATCAAACTGTGCACACTGTAATGTTTTATGTTTTAATATATCTCAAGCAGCTTTCTACATTTAAAAGATACAATGCCCTGTCGTATATACCTTCTAGGTTTATAGACTTTAATAGCTATCTATGTGGATACATAGATATATACACACATAGCTAGCTACAAGACAACTTAAACAGAACACCTATTGGGCAATCCCATCTAATGAAGAAGTAATCTTAACTCTTACAATTTCATCAAGCTTTCTTGTAGTGGCATCACACTGATAATGCACTTAAGATATATGATGCCAAGTACATACTATGTTCTTATGAAAGTGTACAACTCTGGGGGCTAGAGAGACGGCTCGGCGGTTAAGAGCACTGGCTGCTCTTACAGAAGGACCCGATTTGAATCCCAGCACCCACACAGTGGCTAATAACCATCTGTACTTCCAATTACAGGGGAGCCAATGCCTTCTTCTGACCCCCTTGGGCATGGACATGGGGTGCATTTACATACATGCAGGCAATACACTCATACATATAAAATAAAAATAAATAAATAAAAAATTTAAGAAAGTGTACAACTCTGTGAATCCCAACAAGAAGCTATTCTATGAAGCAAGTGCCATTAATACGGTCATTTTATAAGGCTTTTTCTCTCTTTTTTTTCCTTAAGACAAGATCTTACCATAGTGAGATACATATAGCGTATGCTGGCCTAGAATTCAGTATGTGGCTCAGGCTAGCCTCAAACTCATGAATCTCCCGATTCCACCTCTCAAGTGCTAGCATTACAGGTGGGTACCATCATGCCTGGGTTGTAAGTACCTGTAAAATGGAGGCTTAGAAAGACTAACTTGTCCAAAGCCACAGAGCCAGTAAAAAAGGCCAAGGCCCCAGATTCAAATCTAAGTCTGTCAATTTTAAAAGCAGTGCTCTTTTTAACAGCTGTTTTCTCTCTTGGACTGAACTCACTGTGTACGGACAGCATTCCAATAGTGACCTTACTAATTTCTTTACTGATCTGAAAGCATTCATGTTACCTTCTCAGCTTTTCGTTTGTTTGTATTTTTTTCAGACAGGGTCTCTGTAGCCCTAGCAGCCTTGGAACTTTCAGTGTAGACCAGGTTGGCCTTGACCTCACAGAGACCCACCTGCCTCTGCCTGGGATTAAAGGTATGTGCCACTACACCCCTGGCTGTCCTCCTCACATTTTTCTCACAGTGAGAAAATGAATGGCAAATAGGATTATCACAGCTCAAGTCCACATTACCATTTCTTCACTTCCTCCCTGGCTTGTAAGACTTGTGTAATACATTTATCTCTACTATTACATTTTATGTACAGTTTCTCAGAATAAAGAAGCATAAACCGATTACACAATTCCCTAAAGTATCTATCACCCTAAGGGGGAGGGGGGCAGTTAACCAGTTAACATACAAATTGAAAAGTTGAAAGTATACCTATGCACAAAGTTGGTTGTTCCATCAATAGGGTCAATGATCCACGTGGGGTTGTCAGTGAAGACAGTCTTTTCCCCAGCTGCCACAGACTCTTCACCAATGAAACTGAAAGCAAAAAACACATTTCCTCAACTACTCATCTAGAAACTAGATTCAAGAAACTTCTAGTCACGTTTCCTTAGTTACAGACTTACTATAAAACACAAGCCATATCTGCACTATTGTTCTATTGTTGCTCTTTTCTTCTAATCAAACAAGCAACCAAGCTGGTTTCCCCCAGAGCAAAGGCATGTGAAACATTACAGAACTCAAAATTCTAAATGCCATACTAACATAATAACTAACATATATGAGAAACACACATATCTGCAAAGGGTATCTTTCAAATGAGAAATTAGGGCTGGAGAGATGGCTCAGCGGTTAAGAACACTGTTCTTACAGAAAACCTGGGTTCAAATCCCAGCACCCACATGGCAGCTAACAACTGTCTGCAACTCCAGTTCCAGGGGATCTGACGGCCTCTTCTGTGGCCACTGCATGACACAGGTGCACTTACCTACATGTAGGCAATACATGCATACAAGTAAAATAAAAAATAAATAAATAAAAATACTTTTTCTTTCTTTTCTTTTTTTTTTAATCTTTTTGAGACAGGGTCTCCCTGTAGCTCCAGCTGTCCTGAAACTCACTATGTAGACCAGACTGGCCTCGAACTCACAAAGATCCGCCTGCCTTTGCCTCCCAAGTGCTGGGATTAAAGGCGTGCACCACCCGGGCCAATAAAAATACTTTTTAAAAAATGAGAAATTAAAAGTAAGACCACAGGAAGAACATGGTAGCACATGCCCATTATCCCAGCATTTAGGAGGTACAGGCAAGAGGATCATGAATTCCAGGCTAGCCTGAACTAGACTGAGACCCTGATGGAAAATAAAATAAACAAAAATAATAAATAAATGCAAGACCACACATTCTCTAGTACCTGTCAAGTTGTAGAGTCTAATACACCACTGTGAGCTGACTTGTTTCTAACCAAAATAGAGTAGGAGTGACAGCTGTACAACTTCAGAGACTAGTTTACCAATGGCCTGGCAGTTTTCATCTTGTCCACTCTGCTTCTCGTTCCCTATCCCAGGAGGAGCCAGCCTCCACATAGTGCTCAGAAGAAACCCACACAGTGAGGAACTGGGAAAGCCGCCAACAATCACAGGAGTGAAGGGTCCTCAAGTGATTAAAGCTCTGAGCCAGTCTGAAACATCCTGAGACGGCAGCCTGAGCTGTAGCTGGGCTACCTTATAGTCCTAACTACAGCAAAACTGTGAAACAATCAGTCTGTCGTTCAGAGCTCTGTTTTTAGAGTAAAAGAAAACTAACACTGAACAGTCAGTAACTCAATGGGAATGTAAACTTACCCATCAAAAGGACTGTGTGCATTCAGGCCACACGATAAATCTGAGCCAATTTCATAAACTGAGTTCATTGGTTCTCTACTCTCCTATTCTCTTTTTATTATTATTATTCAACTAATAAACACATCTTTTTTGGTTTTCTTTTTTCTCCTATCTGCAAGCCTTTTCATGGGAAGAAGTATGTTTAGTTATAAGTTTTTAATACTTTTTCTTCTCAAGAGCTAGAAGATTGGCAATGGCCAAGGGCAGAAGAGGAAGAAGTAACAGGACTGCAGTACTAACACACTTGCAGGATGGCTTTTAATTATATTTAGAGTTCTGGGAATCAAAGTCAGGGACTTATACAGGCTAAGCAAGTGCTTTACCACTGAGCTACATTTCCAGCCCCTAGTTTCTTGTGACAGGATTGTGTAGCCCAGGTTAGCCTCAAATTCCTATTTCTCCTACCTCCATCTCCCAGGTGCTGAAATTAGAGGCAAGTGCCACGTAAACGCCTGGCAGATGACAATGTTTCTGCTAAGTTTTTGTGTGTGTGAAAGAGCCCTGACCTTTCTGAAGCTACATTTCTTTCACATAAGAGGAAGTTTTGCAATACAGAGAATTTAAGGACTCTTCAATGTGCCTACGAGGGCAGACCTTTGCTTCCAGCAACCAAACACTTCTGTTGTGAAGAAATCCAAAGATCCTCTCTTCCCTGATCCTTGGAACCATAAGCACAGGCAATCAACCTATCTCAGCAACCTAACAAAACCTGCTTAGTATTTGTAATCTTAAACCAATGAGGTAAAGAAACAAGGATGGTTAGAAAACGGTCAAAGTCATCAGTCAAGAGCAATGCTACCCTAAGGCATGGCTCAGAAGGCATCTACAGGTTTACCTTCTTCCCTCCCTTGTCCCGGCCTACGTTGCTTAATATCTTCAAAATCAATTCCTTTTGAAGCTTAATTCAACTATAGTCAGATTCTGTGTCTATAATCAACATTTGCCTAATGTACAGATTCCAACCTGGGCCTCATTTTATCATTTCAAACTGGTCTAAGAAATACCTGTGAGACGGGTACTTTTCCTTTATGGAGGAGATAAGCATCTGTTCAACTTTTTGGTCAGTAACTGTTACCAAATCAGCTGGAGAACTTTTAATCATAACATTCATCTCATTTTTTAGAGCTTCTCGAATCACCTAAAAAGATATTTTGGGTAAAAAGATTAAAAAGGCATAAGTAATTTAAAATCAAACAAAAAGATAAAATACAGAAACAGCTTCAAACATTCAGTCAGTCTTATATAATATTCTTACATTTTCTTACAAAATGTCTATAAAGTAAGGTTATTTTAGAGTTATGACCTTCCGGGTAAAAC